TCCTATTAGACCCCCCCCCCCCCCCCCCCCCCCCTAATCTCATCTTATGATGTTGAGCCAMTACGCTTTAGTGTATAAAGTTTGTAAGTTCCACAGTAGTACATGTATCCCCCCCCCCCCCCCCCCCCCCCCTGCTAATACACCACCCATGATTATTCCCCCCCCCCCCCCCCCCCCCCCCTTTTATTCTTTTTCAATTTTTTATACCCCCCCCCCCCCCCCCCCCCCCCATTTTTCCCACAGTTATCACGAATTCCCCCCCCCCCCCCCCCCCCCCCCATCATCCTTTTAAATATATTTATACCCCCCCCCCCCCCCCCCCCCCCCCTTGTGATTTTCAGAATAACTCAGTACCCCCCCCCCCCCCCCCCCCCCCCCCAACTGACCAACATCCTCCATCTTCCCCCCCCCCCCCCCCCCCCCCCCGTGAGTCTGACAGGGAGTTATTCCTCCCCCCCCCCCCCCCCCCCCCCCCAATCATATCATAGCTGTCAACCCCCCGACTTTTCAATTCTGGAGATTCGTAAAAACCTAATTAACATAAATTGTCCCCCCCCCCCCCCCCCCCCCCCCCGTGACGTAACGCAACAAAGGGGCGCCCCCCCCCCCCCCCCCCCCCCCCACATTTATTATTGAACAAAGAAAATCCCCCCCCCCCCCCCCCCCCCCCCCTCATGATTCAAAAAGTAGCTTTTTCCCCCCCCCCCCCCCCCCCCCCCCGTCAAACATTAATACAAGACCATAACCCCCCCCCCCCCCCCCCCCCCCCGGAGATTTCAACCTTTATCCGGGAGCCCCCCCCCCCCCCCCCCCCCCCCGGAGACTCGCGGCTAATCCGGGAGGCCCCCCCCCCCCCCCCCCCCCCCCATCACAGAACCAACCAATGAAATTACCCCCCCCCCCCCCCCCCCCCCCCGTAATCCAGTATATGCTAAAGCTGTCCCCCCCCCCCCCCCCCCCCCCCCCAATATTCCGTCATTCAAAATGAAGCCCCCCCCCCCCCCCCCCCCCCCCGACAACCATGCATCATGTGCCGATGCCCCCCCCCCCCCCCCCCCCCCCCAGCAATCAAACAACAAGTTTTCTAACCCCCCCCCCCCCCCCCCCCCCCCTGAAAAACCAATATACGAAGAATTACCCCCCCCCCCCCCCCCCCCCCCCATCTATCAGCCATTGATCAGGGACAGTCAGATCCAGGTAAGGAAGATGATATTGATGTTAGCTGTACATTCGTGCTACAAAATACATGGCTATTTTATTTCATCTAACTGCATAATAGTCCACTTCGCGGATAATTCGAAATTTTACATTACGTCGTTATGGTAAATTATTGACATCACTGGAAAGAGCGTCATAAAATCAGCAAATTTGCCAAGTTTGAACCCCCCCCCCCCCCCCCCCCCCCCGATACGGCACTTCAAAAACACTAAACCCCCCCCCCCCCCCCCCCCCCCCGTTGTAACAAGTCAAGGTCAACCTCCCCCCCCCCCCCCCCCCCCCCCCCTTCTTTGTAAATTTTGCCGACTTTTCCCCCCCCCCCCCCCCCCCCCCCCCATCGAATCATGCTCAAACCTGGTACCCCCCCCCCCCCCCCCCCCCCCCTTCCAGTGGTGGTAATAGTTTTTCGCCCCCCCCCCCCCCCCCCCCCCCCGTGTTATCTGCGAAGTGGACTATTCCCCCCCCCCCCCCCCCCCCCCCCCAAACAATCATTATGAATCACAGTTACCCCCCCCCCCCCCCCCCCCCCCCTCAATATGTTTAGCATTTTACTATGCCC